AAGGCCCCCCCCCCCCCTCCCCCCGAAAAAAACAAAAAACAAAAGAAAATTAACAATGTCCTAAGAATTATGGGAAAGTATGTCCATAACAAATAATTTTCTTAAACGCAAAACTTTCACACAATTTTAAAATGGTTCATATCGCAAAATCAATTGTATACAAGTACTAGCCTGTGGGTAGCTGGGAACAATATATTTAGTATAACATATTCATGCGATGTTCGTTTGATAGGTAAGGAGACATGTTATAATGATGCTGTAATGTATTAGTAATGGTAGTCAATACCGTTATAGTGCTATTCGGTGTATATTAGGGTTATCATATCCGTGCTGGTGAAAGAGTTTCCGATCAGGCACGACGTTCATAGCGTGACCAGATGATAATCGTTAGATTCTGTTGTCTCGTTGTCATCTATCCGATTCTCACCGCCACGAACCTCCATCACATATATAGTGTCATAGCGCCGATGGTGCCGACATACAATTGATGTTTTATTGATGTGACTAGTGAAGCATTACCGGTAGTGAAAACGTCAGTACATATCAGAAAGACAGAGCAGAGGACTGCTTACACAATTACACAACAGCGACATCTTATCGGATAACAACAAACACAGAAATGGTACGTATTGCTTAGGTTTAGTTACCCTAAAACAATCTCCTCATCTGAGACTTAAAGCTAAGGTTCTTTCAACATTGCTATTTTCTCAGTATGGCCATATCGTTTTTAAGTATTGGTTTGTATGGGTCATGGTTCGGTGTTTATTTTATCAATTCTTCATTAAAAATTACAATAAGAAAATTACCATAAGATGTAGAACCATCTATAACAAAGAGTTTCACTTAGTTATAGATAATTGTTGTAGAATGGTGAAATATATAATGCAATATTTGGATAAACTTCCTCTCGTTGAATGACCTATTATTAATAGGCCAGCAAATGGGTAAAGGTAGTCAACTATGCAGTGATCGGAAGAACAGGGCTGGGCGTTCTCCTGAAGGGACTTCATGTTATTGTCACTAAATATATTGATTGAAATCCAGGAAATATCCGTTCCACGTTTCATGGAATGGATAAATCCACACGTCATTACTATATGAATGCATTGTTATTAAGTTTCATAGATTCACGCTACGTTTCTAAGCTAGTAACTTCCTTTCTAAGAAGGCTGCAAAATGTCTTTCGTTCCTGTGAATATGCTTTCAAATGAAAATGATAAAAATATATCAAAAATATATAATTTTATACATGTTCTTTTGAGTTATTGAATGATAAGATTTTTTTTATATAAGGAAATAACAAAATAACAAAACTCACTGGCATAATATGTGAGGGAGCATATACCCTTAAGGTATATGGCACTTGCACTAATCGCTGATGTAATATGTAAGGTGCAATGAATAACCTTAAGGGAGACAATTCTAACAAGTTATAATATATAAGGTAGAATATACCCTTAAGGGTAATGTTTGAGGTAGCATATATAATAAAGGCATCTTTCCTGAAAAGGGGATTGAGTGAAAGGGTACATGTTGATACTGTGTGTTTTTTCTAATAAAGGCAAACCTTGTTTTCTAATTCACTTATACTTACTTCAATTTCATACTTTGTATGGATAAATTGTTTAATCAAAACAAAATCATTCGCGTTTTTCCCTGTTAAGCGCTATATAACGAGGTAAACATATACGTTAGAGATAAACAATAAAAGATTATTTAGAATGATAATTGGCATGAAAACAAAATCTACGATACATATGTGCATTATGGCATTTTGAGAAATGGAAGAGAACATGATAGTTTCTTGTATGCTTGATGACTTAAAGTAGGAGTGAGCATTAGGAAAGCTTGGTGTTTTACCCCCGTTTAGAATCTCTTCGGATATCTGTATATCGGATAGGATTTTTTAAACTGTCAGGATTCCTGTATTACATGTTGACTGCCGACGTACCAATTTATAACACAATAAACCAGGTGAAAGTTTTGTTTTTTGGTCGCCAGTATGTTCTCACTATGAAAAGTTTGTTTTCCTTCTTAGATTATACTTGTTTATCACCTCTTAATATGAAAGTTTATTTTGCTGTCATTACCTCGGTTCTCAGTTTGAGGACATATATTTACCTGACGGGCGACGTCGACGATTCAGAACACGCTTTCTCTTCTGGAAAACATGTTCCCACTCCCCCCTGTACGTTTTAAAGTATCTCCATATTAATATCGTGTCTACATTTATTTCCTGCCGTACTTCCAACGGTTTATGAGTTCGTATTATGGTTTTGTTCACACCTCGTATTCTCCTGCTTTTGTTTTGGTAGTTTGTCCCGTAATCCCTTGTATATACATTTTTTTTTTTTTTTTATACTTTGCATTGTCTTTATCGATTCATAACGATCTTTTGCAAACATTTCCGATGTCTACCTCACTACTTGGTGGATTTTATATAACAAAAGAATTATTTTAGAACGGTCAGGATAAAAATATTCATTGACTTGTATGATAGGTACTACATACATTTATCAACATTAGAGGAACACATATTCAAAACATGGTTACACGGAGAGAACGCATTTCCATAATGGGCTTATTTTTAATATTACACCAATCTAAACAACATTCTTAAATCAATTTTGTAGGCAGACGACTTCACCAAAGAGCAGCTAGCTGGTAAGTGTAATTTACTTCTACCAGAATCATACGTTCTTATCAAAAGTATTTTTAATAATATCTTTTTTATCACAATGATGGTTACATTTCAAAATGAGTTTCATTCATCGACACCTTTTCCGTCTTTGCGTATCGTAGAGTTATCTTCTCTTGAGAGCAGGTATTTATTGTTACATCATTGGTTTGTGTGAGAAAAATATGTCGTTTTCTCAAAAATTGATGACCTTACTCTCACAAACATATGACGTAACAATCAATACCTGTTCTCAAGAAAAGATAACTCTGCAATACGCAAAGACGGAATACCCTCGATAAGTTTGTATTTGAAAATAATTTCGTCAATCGATATATGAACCTTCTTGAAAGTAATATCATTCAATTGGAGCCATATTTATGCATCTTTCGGAGTTGCGAGCTTGAGTGCGGTTTGTATCTATGTTTAAAGGAACCGTGCCGCTAACCTCCGTTCTTTGTTCTTATCAGCAGGATAAAACTGACATTTCTTATTTTGTTACATTGGAACAGTTATCAACTTTCCTTAAATAAGTTAGAAAATAGTAATACAAATTGAAGAAATATATACCTCCAAGAAAGATCATGATTGTGTTCGTTTGCCCACAGCCTTTATCAATTTTGTAATGTATTGATCTGTACAGAATTCCGAGAAGCGTTCAACATGTTTGATAAGGATGGCAGCGGGAACATCACGATAGAGGAAATGGTGACTGTGATGAGAGAACTCGAGCTGGACAACTCTCCGTCGGAGGAGAAACTAACGGCAGAACTTCACGCCATGGACACCAACAGTAAGAAACTGCTCTATGAATTGATATAACGTGTACTTCAACTTGTATTTCAGGAAGTGAAAGAAGTGTGGCTTCTTAAAAAAGGAGCAGGGCCTAAGACGTGCGTGTCCAGTGATAAAGGACCTATCCATGTGGCGGCTGCCCACTCATGGCCTTAAAACAAATCCTGGTTCTATTATTTGTCTGATGTGTACCTGTACACCATGCAAACATGAAGCAGTGTTAGCTTAGATATTCCATCGGTATTGACACTAGATCGGTTACCTCAGTGTCCGTTACAGCAGAAACGCCACCTTAATGACCGTGAACAACTATCCTGCTGAAATAAAGTGTAAATGAAAACTATGAAACATATTAACCGACACACAGAAAAAATACGGCGTGTAAAGTTGCAAGATTAGAGCTTGTTGAAGTCGACTCTCAACGGAAATATTTCTGTGCGTAGTTCGAACGTAATTACATGTTCTGGGATACCTGAAGAAACAATGTTCATCGCAAAATTGGACTCATGTAGGACACGATTGACTTCGGAATATGTTTCAAATTAACTTTATCAGGTAAAGTTTCCCATTTCATCTCCACCAGTTTTAAATAGATCAATGCTGTAAGCTTTTTAACCAGCTGAATAAATGTTAAAATAGGGTACACAAAAAACCTCAATTTTTGCGTCGATATTTCAAACATTCGGGAGAATATGATTTTGCTTTGTAACATTGATACCCTTTCTGTCTCTATTCAAATAATGCAAACATAAAGTGCTCGTAATATCTAAGTGTGTGCGAATTTTTGAACATTTTGAGTTAGTTCTATGGTCGCTATCACGAATATTTCATTTCATTGCCCGATATAAATATCAACGATTTTGCTCGTTTATTTGTCTTAAGGTTAAACTGTTACTACCCCGTCTCTCTTTTTGAGAACCTGATATTACTTTCATTTGATCTAGATTAACATGACGGGTTCAATCAATGAATCTGACGACGTTTTTAAGTCTTTCTCTTCTTCCTTTTTTGCAATGGTCTCCAAGTAAAACTTTTCTATGATCACATTTGTTTTTCGTGGTCGAGTGGCCTAGTGGTTAACGCACTCGATGTTGACCTAGGCGGCCAGAGGTATGCCCGACAACGTGGGTTTTCTCTGGGTTCTCGCGCTTTTCCCCCCATAAAGACCCCTTGCGCTTTTATTCGGGCCAATAAGGGTGATACATATAGTTTTAAATAACTTGTTTCATAATTGTTGTAAAATAAATAAAAAGTTTATATTTATTTATTATCATAGTTTGTTTTGTATTCAAAGATTTTGAGATTGAATTGCGGTTTTGTCTACACTTTGTATTATCTTCTTTCTGTTTTGTATGGCAGTATTACGATAACGTAAGTACGATATCATTATTTACCATTGCAGATCATAAAAAAGTAGTCTATCGAAGTATAATACTAAATACATGTACTCAATGTGTTTTTTTTTTTTTTTTACAGAGGACGGTACAATTGATTTTGATGAGTTTTTAGCGACGATAAAGAAAACTACAGAAACGACCGAAACCCGTGAACAGGAGCTCAGAGATTGTTTCAAACTGTTTGATAAAGATGATAAAGGCTACTTGACTCTAAAAGAACTCAAACACATCTTGCAAGATTTAGGGAAAAATTCGTTCACGGACGAAGAAGTGAACGAGCTTATCAAAGAAGGTGACGTCAATGAGGATGGTCATTTGGATTATGATGGTAAGTATCCCAATAATGCTTTAGTGTTTATTGTGACGGCAGACCGTATTTTGTTGTATTGCTGAACGTATTGTGTCCATGGCCATCATATCGTCCAACCGATGCTATTAAACAGTTAAAACATAACCTGGAGGATTACAGTACAATTATGTTTTTCTGAAAACTTGCTATTTTCTAAACTGCCATACTTTCCCTATTAAGTTTAACCGATATCAAACGCACAGACATTTTTAAAATAACTCTAACTGTACCTTTTCGGAAGCCATATTTTCTCTCTCAACGTTGTCTGCACTGTTGTCTCAGGATCGTTGAAAAAAGGTGTTGTGAGGTCAATACAAGCTCCTCCCATCTCTCACCTGATTGGCTACATGTAGGTCATTAACATGAAAGAGAGGACGAATGTTGCCATGAGAGATACTCTGCATCGGTAGCTGCATAGGGTGTTAGTCTGCAGGAGTGCTTTAGCTCTCAGACTAAAACACTGCCGATATAGGAATTTCTCTCTGGACAGTTATGATAGTGCAAAAGGAAGGATACGAATTGAATGATTTTTTTATGTAGACCAAATTAAGTAGAGGTTTATTGATATAAGCTCCGATTATTTAATATTTAACACGAACTAATTCCTTGATTAAATACATGATGCATGTTCAGCGATACATATGACAACACATTCTCCAAGATAATTTAATTATATTTTTAAGTAAATATGTTTGAAATATCGAACTATTTTCATTTTTTTTTTATCAGAGTTCGTGAAGCTGTTGACCACACCATAGCCGAATGCGTTGATCTGGAACATGTTTAAAAGACGACAATTTTCATTTTCTGAATGATGAATGGGATTATAATGGTGAAGTCGTTTCCAGATAAAACCATTTTACATGTATATTGTTCATCATTCTGTTGATATCTCCATTGAATTAGCCGAAGGAAGAACCAACATTTTAGTCAATTATCAATGTCCGACTGAAAATCATGCATGTATATATATTCAATTTTGCATACATAATGAGCCCCAAATGAGGTCTATCTAAGATTTTCGGACTGATCTGAACAATATTCATCGATGTTAAAGGTCGAAGTTGGTATTTCTTAGATAAAGTCGATAAATAATTATCTCTAAACAGGAACTACTTTAACCTATTTTAAGAAACGATCTGAAACAGATTTCTCGTTATCTGACGTTTCTCCACCAATTAGAGCTGGAAATCAGCAAATGACATATCAGAGCATTTAATATGGGCAATTAGTGGTGCATGCTGATTGTTGTCTGGAAACGACGAGGAGGCTGGGATCACATTTGTTTTTCTTAAAAATAATTGCATCAAAATGGAAATACGGTTCGAAGTTTAGCTATTTAGTATTCCAATATAAAACATATGTTGACATTAATTTTCTGTCAAGAAACCTTTCGTATTGTTGAGCTAAAAGGAGTTCATCGAAAACAACACATTTGCAGTTGTTGCTTATGGGATAGCTGAATGATGAAATGCATTGTTGTTATTTTGTTGTGTTATATTTATATGTTCTTTTGCTGTTAGATCTTTGATCTGTAAGCGGAAATATTTGGATATCATATGAAATTGAAGTTGAGACATGAAGTTTGTTAGTTGGTTTCTTTTATGGTAGATTAGGACATACGTAATAAAAACCTATCATGTTAATAAATGAATACATCTAGTTGCTCAAGAAGGGTACGCAGTTTCTGCACCTCATTAAACAGCCATTACGGATACTTTCAGCACATACAAGGACGTGTGTAGGTCATGTTCAACCTAAGACTCAACAAACGGCTTTTAAGGGTTAAGACAGCAGATAAGCTGGATTGGGTGCATGTTGAGTTTTCATTTTGAAATTTATAGTTTGTTCCAAATTGATATGGACTACGACTTATGACGCAACGAAGTGGAATGTAAAAAGATAAGCTGTAAGTGGTGCAAGGAGCGTTTCAGTTGTAACAATGATAGTCTGTTGAAATATTCGTCCATGAAATTCAAAATCATTCTGGTCAATGACGATATTGTTTTATACAGATAATTGCAATCTCTGCGGAATCAATCTTGCTAAAAATGTTAAGTAGCTCACTAATACAAGCAATATAAAATGGTAAAATAACATTGAGTTCTATTTTGACTGCCGTGCACCACTGCTTGACCCCAAAGGAAATTCCATGACAAATGTCATCTCCCAGGTAGAAATGATAATCGTTTTATCTAGAGGGACTTTTGTCACATTTAACCAAGATAATTTGGGCTTAAAAAGTTAAATGCAATTGAAGTAAGCATTATTTTAAAAACACGGTCAAAAGGTCAAAGAGTGCTAGGGAAAACCGTGCGACAGCCTTTAATCAATTAAAGACACATACGGAACATCCATAACAAACTGCAACATCCTAGTTTAAATTGTGTTAAATTAACGAATTTTAAGATTTGAACCAAATATTTAGCCAACGCTGACGCGGGGAAGCCTACACAAACTCCTGTATTCTGTAAATTAGCAAGCATAAGATACATATGTATCACTGATTTAACTGACAAGTCGATTTTAGGAATAAAGAACTGATGTACTAAGTCTTTGAAATATGTTTAAAGTTAAGCACGAAAAATATGACAGAAACCTAGCATTACAATGTTTTGTAAATCTTATTTTCGTTCGCATTATGCAGGAGTCTCTATGGGTCGTAATACAGCTTAACATTCATTAAAAGGGCATGCGGAAGTGTTTTTAGTTATATATGAGTTAAATATATAAGGTGGGGAAATCCAAAATGGTACAAGGTAAACGAATTGTTGGTTATTACGTGTCTATCATGATCTGAAGAGCTTACTAACATAGTAAGAAGCCTATTATAATGGCCTTTCGTTTCATAGATCGAGATTAGTCAATCGTGACAGACCATTAGGGAATCGTTCGTCAATCAGTAACGTTTTCTATGTAGAGATTATTTGGTATTTGGAAATTTCCATAAGTAATTACGAAATAATTGTTGACGTTCTTGTAACATAAGAAATCTGAAGAATTGATTTTCATATCAGAACTAAACTTTGGTAATGTCTAATCCGCTGGTCTACAGTTGTAGTTGTCAGAATGGAAAATATTAAAACACTAATTCATTAGAAACAATGTAAATCGACAAGACATTGTTGTGCGCATGCTTGTAGCATAATTGACAGTCATTGTTAATTCTGCTTCCTTTTTTAGCTATTGTTAACGACATATACATGTACTGTTTATTATGTATTCATTCTAAATCAAAACATCTTTCGTTACCACCACAAAATTATAAAAGAAACCAATCTTATTTCTAACCCACAAGCTCGACCAATTCTTATTTCAGGATCGTATCAGATCATGTTATACCCTCTTGAAATATTTATCATATTTTCACTAAATGGATCTTATAGAATGAACAAATAACTCACTAGTTATGTAGCTAGTGATATTCATTTGATATATATTTAAATGATTAACAATACTCTATATCTGCATGAATACACAGGGAAATTAGGTACATGCATAAATACAGGAGATTACGTGTAAAGTGCATCTAAATGTTGTCTACATTCTCGGAAGTAACCATGCATGGATAAAATCATTCTAAAGAATAAAGTATGAGAAAACCCTTAAGAGCAGGTTTCAGTTCTATGGTCGTCTTAAAGTTTACCGCCTTTTTAATTTACATAGTACAGGTAAAATAGTACAGGTAAATGGTGTAGGCACGTATCTTTACAATACATCTAGAGCATTGAGGGTATATCTATTTATAGCTACCCCCACTTATCTCGTCCATTAGAACCGGTAGTTTGTCGTGGTGATATGCCGCAATGCGACACTCGGGTAGTAGTACACATAAATATTTCCCTAACATTCCCTTTAAAGATGATTTTCTCAATCACTTGCTTTATTTCCTCACCGTAGCGACACGACACACAACAAACACAGTTTAAAACGAGTTTAGCCTACGGGAACACTACAGACAACTTCTACAAGGCAATATGGTATGTACTTATAAACTATGTGTATACGAACTTAATGTTTCTAGTTTTGGTTTATAAAACGTAACACATTCAATGTTAGCAATAAGCTTGAATTGTTTTACAAACAATAGTCATTGCGGGTTATTTAATTCAAACCATTACACTGAGTGATTAGATGACATATCACAGCATATTGTTTCACAGAGTTAACCTTAACGTGGTACACGTATAACGAACGATTAATCATGTTCCTTGTAGTGTATGCAGTGAATGAGACAATACCATATACATTGTAGTTAATTAATTATTTAAAATAGTCGATAATCGTTAGAACTATTTCTGGTACTTTTTAAAGTACATAATTGTTATTTGTAAAGTGTTACCAAGACAGTGGATAGACATTTGACCTTATCTGGCATTATACCCATATGTGCTGTTTAACATGTTATATTCGGTGGTAAGACTAACCAAAGGGAAGTGATTATATGAACATAATACAAATAAACCTTTTTACTTTATCAACATTAATTTTGGGTTCTGTTCATAATTACATTGAGCACCAAATAGAATATAATAAGCGTTTTCGTATGAAAGTTACACATTGACCGGTAAACAGCATTTCTTTTTTTAACGAAACTGAAAATATCCCAAGACCACTGTTACTGTTGGTATTATAAACTTTATTCTGTCATGTATTCTGGTTTACTTCTCAGACGGACACAATGACAGAAGAACAGATCGCCGGTAAGTTGTGACCCTTTATCACTGTGATTAGCTAAGCGTTAATCCTCTCAGTCAATACCATTATCAGGTTATGAAAGACATTCATGGGAGAAAACCAACTCTGATAAGAACACATATTGTATTGAAAGGTAGTTTAAAAGATTTACGATAGTGACCATGTACCATTTTGCTGGTTTGAATGAGGACTGAAATGTATTTTCAAAAAAGGTATACAATTATTGCTATGCTTGAATGATTTAAATACTTATTTGTGACGTACATATTACCAGACTTGAGGCATTGGTTAGAAATTAAAAACAAATTGAAGTAATGCAAATAAATTATTTATTTTTTATGTAATAACTTTCTTATTCAAACTTATTAACATCCAAGATACGATTTCTTAAACAAAACAGTGTTTTCCCGCAGTCCTTTAAATATCTGTTAAACACTGCAAAATGCTACTGCTTCAGAATTATGTGTACAATCCAAATTGGTTTCATAAATGTTGGTATTAAAATGATACTGATTTCATTGCGTTATCACCATCGTTACGAATGGGTGTGCATACACTATGATTCCCCCGGTTTGTAGAAATCAAAGAGGCGTTCAGCCTGTTTGACAAAGATGGCGACGGTACCATAACAACCAAAGAGTTGGGGACAGTGATGAGGTCACTAGGACAGAACCCGACAGAAGCTGAGTTACAGGACATGATCAACGAGGTGGACGCGGATGGTAAATTTAATGATTTTGTAATTATAAGAATATGTATTTTTAAGACAAAACTCCCCTCTCCCCTAATATATATGCAAAAATGTAAAAATCACCAGTGACTGATTCTCGAGACCTTTCGTTCCTATGTAGCTCTCATTCTCCTAAAGAGCGGCATAACAGCGAAAGGCCTCCAAAATCGGTCTTCTTGTGATTTTAAGACGTTTGTATATTTTTCCTGTCACACAGACATCATTTTTGTATCATATATAAGCTACAATGTATTACATAATACCACACATCAGAGTTCAAATAATGCATAAAGTAACTACAGTCAGTCCAGCAAGATAAAATTCAACTACATTATCTTATCTACATATGCAAAAAATATATTAATCCATTAATGATAGTATCGAACTTCAATTGATGACAGTACTGAAGTTTAGATCAATACCTTACTGCAATGTCAATAATGTATCCTCTTGATTTATTTAGCTAGAAAACAAACACAAATACTAAAAACTTATAAACTAGTCTGTTAAACACAGATGTCTTAATAGATACAGCAATCTATAAGAAACACCATGACATTTCATCATTCTTGTTAATATTAAATATAAGCTATTCAATGCAAGAGCATCTGTAAGCATGCTTGCCAAAACAATGGTTTCTATTCTAGGAAACGGTACAATTGACTTTCCCGAATTCCTCACAATGATGGCACGTAAGGCGAAAGATCAAGATAGCGAAGAGGAGCTGCGAGACGCGTTTAAAGTATTTGATAAAGATGGAAATGGATTTATCAGTGCTGCTGAATTACGACACGTAATGACAAATTTAGGAGAAAAACTAACAGATGAGGAAGTTGATGAAATGATCCGAGAGGCTGACATTGATGGTGATGGACAAGTCAATTATGAAGGTATGTTACATGCTTTGATCAACTAAATAATTGTTGTTTAATATCTATCATACGTTTATTTATTTTTATTCAGAGATAAGAAATACCAAGTGGTATGATCAAACAAAATTATCTCTTGTGACTTTCATGAAACTTTGTAATAGAACTTTGTAACTTTGATCTAAGGTCCATCTTGTGTCGATTCCGACTCGTGTCGATTAATTCCAGACTCTTGTTTTGAATTTGTTGACATTAGCACTAATATAAGAGAACTACTTTTAATTCTTAAAAAAATGCAGAATTGATGGTATATTGATGGCCAATGACAACTTTAAATGCATTCATTCAATTGTATAAAAAGATAATAATTACACATGCGTTTTCGAAAGATAGTTTTGAATCATATATGGGTAGCACAAAAGACTTTTCATGGAAATTAAAAACTTAAACATTTATATGAAATTTGTTTGATTTGATTTGATTTATCAATTTATTATTTCCATTTTTTCTCTCTCGTAGAATTCGTGAAAATGATGACGTCAAGGTAGACAGAAACATCTACGTAATATCATCGTCGAAAGTTTCATTGCCATCATCTTCTCTCAGTTCATCACACAGCTTCGAGCAAGCCATAACATAAGCATACGAAGCCGAAGGAAACTTCCAGCAACAATTTCCTTAGGGGTCCTTTAATTCCACAGTTGATCTTCATCAGGAAATATCTCCAAACTAGACAATTGATTCGCGATAGTATTCTTTTATACAACAATATTTCGATATTGAACATTATTATTATTTATATATTAAATGATGTTATTATTTTTTTTAATATTTTTGTGTTTGTGTTATTTTTTGGGATTATTTTAAAATATTAAACAATAAGATATTTGTAGTTAGTTATTACAGATTAGAGATAAACGGGTAAATTGTCTTATGAAAGTCTATATATCTATATAAACTTTATTTATTTTACAACAATTATCAAACAAATTATTTCAACTTATATCAATCACTCTTGTTGGCCCGGATGTTAGCGTGTGGTGGGTCGTAGTGTGGGAGAAAACCGGAGTTCCCGGAGAAAACCCCTGTGAGCGGGCAGAAGACCCCAACCTTTGCACGTCCGATCGGGGAATAGAACCCCGGCCGCCTTGGTGAAAGGCAAGTGCGTTATCCACTGCACCACCCGACTACCCACTGCACCAACCGACCACCCTTTATATCTGATTTAGGGTCGATGTTGGGGTTGCTAAAATATTGAATGTTACTTAATCTTTTAAAGGCGAAATAAGGAGTATATACTTTGCTATAGATACGAAATAAAATATATCCTTATTTGTTTTAAATTTATATTGAATTCGCAGAGGACTCAATGTAATCAAAACAGTTATGACAGATTATGTAGATTTGTATTTTGTAAACCAAAACAAATGTCAGAAGGGCTGTTTACTGTAAAAAGAAGGGGTTCTTTAGACATTTCGAAAATATGTGACAGGTACATTTGATATTTTTGTTGTAATCGGGATATTTTTCTTTCAAGTAATTTTTAAACTTTAAAAAGATTTAAAAATCTCATCACAACATCCATTTACAGGTAAAGGAAGTCCTAACATCTCACCCACGTTTCCTTAAATCAAATTCATTTCCTATATATTGATTTATACTTAGATTCAGTATATTGTAAGGATTTAAGCTATTTTTCACAACTGGACAAAGACAAAACAAAACATTTCACCACATAATTGCTACGGGATTGGACCTTGGCGACACATGACATGAATACCTGTGTACATGTAGCTGTAATACACGCACTTATAAGCTTTAGAGATATCAAGAATATTTCGCTAAGAGGCCATCGAACGGTAATCGTTGATTATGATCAGAGAGTCAGACATTGATGGCAATGGACAAGTTTACTACGAAGGTATGTCACCAGTCTTGACCAAGATATTAATTCATGTCCCTTGTCAATCACTTGTAATTTCTTGGTATCTTTGAAGAACAAGATAATGTGGTATTATGTATAAAAAGCTAATGTTTAATGTAAACATCAACTTCCCGCATCAGAAACCATTAGTTACAGTGTAAGGTCATTCTGTTTATAAATATCAAAAGGAATCCTAGTTTAAAATGTAAATAATGTTAAGACTTTAAACAAAATATAATCCGAAACTCATTTCATCTACAAAGGGCATCGTCACGTGTGTTTGTACTGTCGTCACGTGTGTTTGTACTGTCGTCACGTGTGTCGTCACGTGTGATTGTACTGTCGTCACGTGTGTTTGTACTGTCGTCACGTGTGTTTGTACTGTCGTCATGTGTGTCTGTACTGTCGTCACGTGTGTCTGTACTGTCGTCACGTGTGTTTGTACTGTCGTCACGTGTGTTTGTACTGTCGTCACGTGTGTCTGTACTGTCGTCACGGGTGTTTGTACTGTCGTCACGGGGGCCGTCACGTGTGATTGTACTGTCGTCACGTGTGTTTGTACTGTCGTCACTGTACATTTGTATCTTAACACCTACATATTTTTATCAATTAAAACCGCAAACATATTATATTGGTTTAATTGATGTCCTTGATTCTTTTCACAGAATTCCCAACGGTAATGATGGCGCGATAGAATCAACTGTCTCGCTGTCTAACAAACCTCAACGTATCGTAATCATGTGTATATTTACCATTATTTCATGGTGCATTGAACTGCTTCATTCAGACAATGGAATAAAATGTTTTAACATTAGAGACGATCTAATATATTCAAATACTGCATTTGTATTTGCTACATGAACTATATGCGAATGCATTATGTAAAAAGGTTAGAAGGCAGGTTGAAAATAGATTACCTTTAAAGGTTATTCTGCATAAGTCACTTGGAATAGACACATCTGTATAATAGAGGTTAAAATCCATTGACAAAAATCAAGCTATTCGTTTTACTTAAATGTATGTATCGTGCAATGCATATTCAATGCAAAGAAAAGACATCTTCGACAAATAGTCATTGGTATCCAGCTTTAACATTATGACGTCATTATTATGATGAATCATATTTGGACCATGATATTCATAATTAATGAATTTCAGTAAAGTAGTAAATCGGCATTACCGGTGGTATTTATTATAACTACTTAATGTCCTCACATTGCGTAGTAAAAACGAATGGCCGATTTGATGTTTTATTCATACAAATTTGTTCACACAACACGTTGAACTTGTCCCGTGATCAACTCAAAAGTCACTCCTTTGCACTTAACACAGTTACTCGATTTAATCATTAACGGAATCTGGTAATTTAATTCTCGTAGGTCCGACAATTGGAGTACAAATGCAACATTAAACTTGACATAGCTGTTTCTTAGAAATGTCTTTCCACCCATCTCGGGCACTCTCTGGTTTTCGTGTGATAATTGGTTTAGATATTGTACAGATATTTCAACCAAAGTTTGTATGCACATCCGATTCATGCTAAGTTTGTCAACCGATGTGATTTGTGCATTTTTACTGATAATTAATGAGGTTAGGAAATTCTGATGGATTAAACAATTAATTTACTCCGTAATATCTGCATGTTCAAGAAAAAGTCTAACTTCTGTATAAGGCTTTTTTTCCTCTCCGAGTTTCAAGCTATACGTTATGTCTCAACAGCACGATACTCAAATGTTTAAACCTAACCTGAATAATGTTTACCTCCAATATGTCCTGCATGCGGGGGATATAAATTTCACGAATTTGCTTGTTTTGTAAGAGATTGAATTGATCGAAGAGCTTCCAATTCATCAAAAAGACAATATCACAATCTAGGTAACTGTTCTTGTTACGTTTAACAAGATATATAGCAAAGCAGAATAACTCGCCAACTCGCAGAATATTCAATCAATATGTAAACTGAAAACAACCTAAAAATAAAGAACCCAACAAAAGATTCCTGTTTGACATCCATTCAAATCATATGTCAAATGGCATTACCCCGAAAACCTGAACATAGTACATTTCATCGCTTGCACCGAAACTGAATCCTCGATATTGTGGCGTAAATCAGGTTAAACTGTAATGTTTTGACTTCCGTCCAGGGTACCACGTAGCAGAATCCTACGTAAAATAGCTAAAACATAAAATCTTAACAACTATGTACACAAAGCAAAGTACCATGGATACTGAAAGTAATTGGTGCATTTAATGTCAACAGTTATACAAACGTTTTAGCCTGGTCATAACTATAAAAAAAAACTGTGTTTAGAGAACTACATCAATGAGAGATTGGCTAGGAAAAACATGTTAAATATGAGCATATACTGAAGGTACATATATATGTATATGTTAATGAGTTTTAAAGTGGCACTTTAACGTGAACATTAGCTGAGGTCACTATATATACCCATCTTTTCTCCAAATATGCCGGGTAGAATCGCTGTGACGTTTCTACTCACAATCTATGATGTTACAAATCTTCAAAATGTGATTTAAGTTAAGAGTGATGATAAAGAAACTTTTCTGTACAATATTTGTCATTTTATTATAGGACTAATTACAGAACTCGATATCACTTAAGGATACCAGTAATACTGCCAACATGTTAGTATGCTCAGGTACCTTAAGGATGTACACCTCTGAGAAGTCAACAAATTCCTGTAATAAACATTTTTTCTTATATTGATTGTTGGAAAAAGGAGATAATGGCATAGTAGAAAATGCCAAAAAAAAACAAAAAATGTCCGTGTGTTCGTTTTAGCGATATGATCGGTCAAAGATACCAATTTAACACAATAGGTGATTTTAGGTGAATTTTCGGGTTTTGACCATTGGCAGAACAAATTCATACAATTTCTTCCAAGTTTGTTATCAGATATGTATGAATGTTTGTAGAATTGATAAAAATATAATTTTATTTTAAATTATGGAAGTGAAATTTCTTAATCTTAATCATTTTACTCAGAAATGCGATTTTAGTTACCCCTACACCTTATTTTTTAATGAAAAATACTAATTTTTCACCATTTTTTGCAGATTAAACGCTTGATATAAAAAAAATCCTGTATTAAACTTTTTTTTAGTATTCAATGAATCAAAAGAAAATGTGTTTCCCCTTTCTAAAACAGTCACAAAAATGGGAGGTCGGTGTGCTTCTTTTTTTGTCCCATTATTATTTGTGTTATTTTTCACCTTTTTCGGGATCAAAAATCAAAAGTGCTTCAGTTACCCTAATATGTAAATAAAATACCAATAATATATAACTTTCCACTTTTTTGTATATTATTTTAATCAAATTGAACATTATAAGGTTGTACAGCAAAAGTGAACCTGCTACATTTAACAATGGTGATACAATGACAAATTAAGTGATCAATCTAGTGTCAAAAAAGGTGAAATTTTGCTTTTTGTGAAGCGCAAGAAATTCACATAAATACACGTTTTCAAAATGGCCGCCAAATTGGTCATTTTTTTCCAATTCTTGTAGAAAAAAATCTACACATAACAGACATCTAGTTTTATGACATGTTTTTCAGATGTGTGTTTGCTATTAAACCTATTAGAATTTGTTAAATATTACAAAAACCCGTTACACAAGATCAAAACAAGACTTGAACGTGACTGAAACCTCAGAAGAGAACATCCTTAAGGATACCTTTACATGAACTTTTTTTCCGGATATGACTTTTGTCTTTGATAAATGATATCTGCAACGACATACCTTGCTGAACATTGAAACCCCCCAGATGTTGTTACTAATTGTCTATAAACACATGTTCCTATAGGGAACGCAATAATACTAACAAACTGAAAAGTCCCTCTTTTTGCAAGCTTTCGGGCTTAGCCATTCGGCAGGGATTAGATGTCACCGGACCTCTACGTCACAATAACAGGGCACGAATAACCGAATGGTATGCCACGCATGACTTATCTGGGAGTACAAAACGAAATCCAATTATAAAATACACAATGTATTTTTCTTTGGTAGTTGTGCAAATCAAAGCAGACATGCAATGGCACACAATTTATATCCTGATGATATTGTGCTGTACTGTTTATGCGTTTTTTTTCGATATCTAGCATTCTTGATTGCTTTATACGGTGTTAGACTCAAAAGTAATGGGAAAATAACAAAACTGTCATTCTTAAAGTGTTGTTATATGCCTGTTCATTGATTTTCAGACTCTGTTTATCCTACTATAGGCACAGCATTAGAGCATTACACTGTATGTATTCGTACATATAGTTACTTCCCCTTAGTTTGGTTTCGAGTACACCGGTAGCGTATCAAGTCTGACAGATTGTTGTTGACGGGTATATCTTAGTCAATGGGATCGACAATTTCATAACAATGGCCACGTAGAATATTTTCATAAAAACAACTAACAAACTAAAAAGTCCCTCTTTTTCCAAGCTTTCGGGCTTAGACCTTCGGCAGGGATTATATGTTAAATTTACCGCCTTTTCCATTTACAAAGTATAGGAAAAGAGTACAGATAAAGGGTGTACAGGCACGTATATTTACAATACACCTAGAGCGTTGAGGGTATATCTATTTATAGCTACTCCCACTTATCTCGTCAATTAGAACCGGTAATTTGTCGTGGTCATATGCCGCAATGCGACATTCTGGTAGTAGTACACATACTTATTTTCCTACAATTACCTTTAAAGATGATCACAACGTATTTTGAATACAATAGGAAAGTTAACATTCCCGAGAGCTCAGACGGTATTTCCTCAATCACTTGCTATATTTCCTCACCGTAGCGACACGACACACAACAAACACAGTTTAAAACGAGTTCAGCTTACGGGAATACTAGACAACTTCTACAAGGCAATATGGTATGTACTTATAAACTATGTGTATATGAACTTCATATTTCTAGGTTTGGTTTATAAAACGTAACACATTCAGTGTTAGCAATAAGCTTGAATTGTTTTACAAACAATAGTCATCACAGGTTTTAATTAAAAACCGTTACACTCAGTGATTAGATGACATATCATAGCATATTGTTTCACTGAGTTAACCTTGATGTGGTACACGTATAACGAGCGATTAATTATGTTCCTTGTAGTTTATGCAGTGAATGGGACAATACCATATACATTGCAGTTAATTTGTTATTTAAAACAGTCGATAATCGTTCGAACTATTTCTGGTACTTTTTAAAGAACATACTTTTTATTTGTAAAGTGTTATCAAGACAGTGGATAGACTTATGACATTATCTGGCATTATTCCCTTATGTGCTGTTTAACATGTTGTATTCGGTGGGAAGACTAACCAACGGGAAGTGATTATATGAACATAATACAAAAAAACTTTTTACTTTATCAACATTAATTTTGTGTTTTCGAAAGTACACATTGATTGGTATACAGCAATTTATTATAACGAAACCGAAAATATCCCTAGACCGCTGTTACTGTTGGTATTATAAACTTTATTCTGTCATGTATTCTGGTTTACTTCTCAGGCGGACACACTGACAGAAGAACAGATCGCCGGTAAGTTGTGACCCTTTATCACTGTGATTAGCTAAGCGTTAATCCTCTCAGTCAATACCATTATCAGGTTATGAAAGACATTCATGGGAGAAAACGAACTTTGATAAGAACACATATTGCCATCAATAACCGTTCATGTCGCCTACTATATCCCTTGGGGATAAATAAGTTTGAAAATAAAAGGTACAGTGTTTCCCCGCAGCCCTTTGAATATCTGTTAAACACTGCAAGATGCTACTGCTTCAGAATTATGTGTAAAATACAAATTGGTTTCATAAATAATGGTATTAAAATGATACTGATTTCATTGCGTTATCACCATCGTTACTAATGGGTGTGCATACACTATGATTACCCCGGTTTGTAGAATTCAAAGAGGCCTTCAGCCTGTTTGACAAAGATGGCGACGGTACCATAACAACCAAAGAGTTGGGGACAGTGATGAGGTCACTAGGACAGAACCCGACAGAAGCTGAGTTACAGGACATGATCAACGAGGTGGACGCGGATGGTAAATTTAATGATTTTATAATTATAAGAATATGTATTTTTAAGACAAAACTACCCTCTACCCTAATATATGCAAAAATGTAAAAATCACCAGATGACTGATTCTCAAGACCTTTCGTTGCTATGCAGCTCTCATTCTCCTAAAGAGCGGTATAACAGCGAAAGGCCTCCAAAATCGGTCTTCTTGTGATTTTAAAACGTTTGTATATTTTTCCTGTCACACAGACATCATTTTGGTATTATATAGAAGCTATTAGATGTTACTACACATCAGAGTTTAAATAATGCATAAGTAACTACTGGCAGTCCAGCAAGATAAATTTCAACTTCATTTTCTTATACTACACATGCAAAAAATATATTAATCCATTAATTAATGATAGTATCGAACTTCAATTGATGACAGTACTGAAGTTTAGATCAATACCTTACTACAATGTCAATAATGTATCCTGTTGATTTGTAAAATCTCATTCAATAGTAAAATTGATAAAAAGACGACATCATTATATTATCAACGTACAGCAATTATTTGTCATTGAAATTCTACTACGACTTCTTTGTTGTTGCATTTACATTATGATTTATATAGCTAGAAAACAAAAACAAATAATGAAAACTTATAAAATAGTCTGTTAAACACAGATGTCATAGTAGATACAGCAATTTATGAGAAACACCATGAAATTTGATCATTCTAGTTAATATTAAATATACGCTATTTAATGCGAGAGAATCTGTCAGCCTGCTTGCCAAAACAATGGTTTCTATTCTAGGAAACGGTACAATTGACTTTCCCGAATTCCTCACAATGATGGCACGTAAGATGAAAGATCAAGATAGCGAAGAGGAGCTGAGAGAAGCGTTTAAAGTATTTGATAAAGATGGAAATGGATTTATCAGTGCTGCTGAATTACGACACGTAATGACAAATCTAGGAGAAAAACTAACAGATGAGGAAGTTGATGAAATGATCCGAGAGGCTGACATTGATGGTGATGGACAAGTCAATTATGAAGGTATGTAAAATGCTTTGATCAACTAAAAAAATGATGTTTAATATCTATCATAAGTTTATTTATTTTATTCATAGATAAAAAAGTGCCAGGTCGTATGATCAAACAAAATTATCTCTTGTGGCTTTGGTGAAACTTTGTAATAGAACTTTGTTACTTTGATCTAAGGTCCATCTTGTTTAATCCGACTCGTGTCGATTAATGCCAGACTCGTGTCTTGAATTTGTTGACATTATCACTATTAGAAGATAACTACTTTTTTTTTAAATGCATTATTGATGGTATACGTTAGGCAAATGACAACTTTAAATGCTTTCATTCAATTGTATAAAAAGATAATAATTACACATGCGTTTTCGAAAGATAGTTTTGAATCATACATGGGTAGCACAGAAGACTTTTCATGGAAATTAAAAACATGAACATATTTATATGCAATTTGTTTGATTTGATTTGATTTATCAATTTATTATTTCAATTTACTTCTTTTTTCGCAGAATTCGTGAGAATGATGACGACAAGGTAGACAGAAACATCTACGTAATATCATCGTCGCCAGATTTATTGTCATCATATTCTCTCAGTTCATCCTACAGCTTCGAGCAAGCCATAAAATAAGCATACGTCGCCGAAGGAAACTTCCAGCAACAATTTCCTTAGGGGTCCTTTAATTCGACTGTGGATCTTCATCAGAAAATATCTCCAAACTAGACAATTGATTCGCGATTAGTTTTCTTTTATGCACTACTATTTCTATATTGAACATTATTATTATTTATATATTAAATGATTTTAGTATCTTTTTTTATATTTATGTGTTAGTGTTATTTTTTGGAATTATTTTAAATATTACATGTATATTAAACAAAAATATTTTTGTAGTTAGTTATTACAGATTAGAGATAAACGGGTAAATTGTCTTATGAAAGTCTATATATTTATATAAACTTCATTTATTTTACAACAATCGGGCAGGAGACCCCAACCTTTACACGTCCGATCGGGGAATCGAACCCCGGCCGCCTTGGTGAAAGGCAAGTGCGCTATCGTCGGCACCACCCGACAACCTACTGCACCACCCGACCACCCTATATATCTGATTTAGGGTCGATGTTGAGTAACCCTTAACTATGGATACAAAATAAAATACATCCTTATTTGTTTTAAATTTAAATTGAATTCGCAGAGGACTCACTGTAATCAGAACAGGTATGACAGATGCTTTCGGGCTTAGCCCTTCGGCAGGGATTAAATGTCACCGGACCTCTACGTCACACTATTAAACTATAATTAATATTATCGTAGAGAGAATTATTGTGACGTAGAGGTCCGGTGACATATAATCCCTAAAGAAGGGCAAAGCGCGAAGGCTCGGAAAAACAGTGACTTTTTAGTTTGTTAGTTGTTTTTATGAAAATACTCTACGTGGCCATTGCTATTAAATTGTCGATCCCATTGATTAAGCTATACTCGTCAACAACAATCTGTCAGACTTGATACGCTACAGTACTCGAAACAAAAAAACTAAGGGGAAGTAACCGTATGTACGGATACATACAGTGTAATGCTCTAATGCTGTGCCAATAGTAGGATAAACAGAGTCTGAAAATCAATGAACAGGCATAAAATAACACTATAAGAATGACAGTTTTGTTATTTTCCAATTACTTTTGAGTCTACATGTAACACCGTATAAAGCAATCAAGAATGATAGATATCGAAAAAAAACCCCGCATAAACAGTACAGCTCAATATCATCAGGATATAAAGTGTTTGCCTCTGCCATTGTATTTCTGCTTTGATTTGTACAACTACCAAACACAAATAAATTGTGTATTTTATAAGTGGATTTCGTTTTGTACTCCCAGATATAAGTCATGCGTGGCATACCATTCGGTTATTCGTGCCCTATTATCGCCAAGCAATATTATTTTCCGTAGAGAGAATATTTGGTTAATGGGAAAATTACCTGTTACTACGTGATCTTTGAATAACATACAGGTAATTGTGAAATATAAAGAATATAACTATTTACAAACTGTTGTATAAGTTATAATATGATATGATCTCTAGTTTATGTTTAGATAATAATGATAATGTATCCAATCAATACAACATTAAAACAACATTTAGAATGTTGTGCACGTATCTGCTGCATTTACTTATTGTCGAGGACCCGTACGTTAACTGTTCCCGACTAACTCTATTCAATTCTCTACAATTTAATCCTGACAAACAGCAGTTATTTAATAATTATACAACAGGAAACATTGAACACAAATATTTGCCTACAACAAACGGTATATTTCTAGGCTTATAATTCAAGTATCACTTTCGGCTATCCTTGAGAGGGATAGTCCAGTAGCAAATCGAAAACTATTTTATGTCAGTCGATAAAGAAACCTACGGAAGAGCATAAACACCGAAGTTCTCCTCCGTAGAAAACACTGCTTACTTTTTTATCAATACAGAGAACTACTGAGGGTTAATTAAAACAAAATGATGAATATGAATATTACAGATATCATCCTATGTATATTTATCGTTTTATTCTGTTACGGAGTGTGGTTGTGGTGTCTATCTCATTACACACAGTACCGGCGAGGTGTGTATATGCCTGCCAATATTTCGAGTATTGGGGATATACATTGTATCTATTAATAGACACCCAATTTACCTTGTCAATAGGGGTCTACAATGTATCGTAGTCTATAGTGCCGCAATGCGACATTCCGATACACATACATCTATTCATACCATTACCTTTGTTATTAATGCTTCATGAATTAAAAAAAATAAAAAAAAACCACGCAAATGAATTCCCGTATACAGTGATAGAACGAACGACCAACACAGTTTAAGTGGACTCCAACTCACGGGTATGCTAGACAATTTTTCACAACAATATGGTATGTATTATATACTTCGTAGATATGACCTTAACACGTTTAATTAAGATATACTTGTGCACCGTGAGTCATTAATAGCTATATCAGCTAGTAAGTTACAAACACAATGACCAGGTCACTTATTACCTGTTACTTTGTAATTCATTATATAGATTATCCTTGATTGTGAATTTTATGTAATCAACAATATTTTATTTTAGTACATTTATTCTCGAATTAATAAAATATGTGATTTTAAATTGTTATTAGGGAAGTACACCGGTATCTTTTCTTGTCTACTATTATGTTTGTTACTATATAATCCTATAACAAATTTCTGCACTATGTCGCTGAGAGGCCAAAGATCAACCATACATAGAGTATGTTAATAATTTTGATACACATATATACTATACACTTAGTATACATATATTGTTTCTGAGTATAATACACACTGCCCAATGGTATGAAATTATACAACAATGAACCATGTATAAACAGAGTCTATTCCGAAAGCGAGCGATATTACAACTGTTTTATTTATCATGTATTGTATTGTTTACTTTTCAGGAAAACACACTGACAGAGGAACAGATCGACGGTAAGTTGTGATATTCTTCCGGTAAGATTAGCTGAAATGTTGTCATACCAGTCAACACTAGTATCAGGGTATGGAAATTATTCATTAGAAAGGTGGCCTTACCCATAACTATCTCTCAAGACGTTATACATAGATTTTTTTTGTGATTATATACATGGGTAATAGAGGTGAAAATTCCAAGGTCGGGAGGATGTACGCAAGTAGGGCTAACGATAGTGTTAGAGGTAGGATGTAGGTGAAAGAGAAAGAGATACTAGGAGTCATTGGACAGAGAAAGGTAGGGAGTAGGGAATCATTACTACGAGAGCGGTAGGGAGTAGAAGTCAAGACCGGGTCAGAGAAAGGAAGAAGGAGTCAGGATAACAAGAGAGGTAGGGAGTAGAAGTCGAGATTGGGTCAGAGAAAGGATGAATGAGTCAGGATAATAAGAGAGGTAGGGAGTAGAAGTCGAGATTGGGTCAGAGAAAGGATGAATGAGTCAGGATAACAAGAGAGGTAGGGAGTCGAAGTCAAGATTGGGGCAGAGAAAGGAGGAAGATGTCAGGATAAAAAGAGAGGTAGAAAGTTGAAGTCAAGTTCGGGTCAGAGAAAGGGGGTAGGAATCATGATAACAAGAGAGGTAGGGAGTAGAAGTCAAGATAGGGTCAGAGAAAGGAAGAATGAGTCAGGATAACAAGAGAGGTAGGGAAAAGAAGTCAAGATAGGGTCAGAGAAAGGAAAAAGGAGTCAGGATAACAAGAGAGGTAGGGAGTAGAAGTCAAGATTGGGTCAGAGAAAGAAAGAAGATGTCAGGATAACAAGAGAGGTAGGGAGTAGAAGTCAAGATTGGGTCAGAGAAAGGGAGGAGGAGTCAGGATAACAAGAGAGGTAGGGAGTAGAAGTCAAGATTGGGTCAGAGAAAAGGAGGAGGAGTCTGGATAACAAGAGAGGTAGGGAGTAGAAGTCAAGATAGGGGCAGAGAAAGGAAAAAGGAGTCAGGATAACAAGAGATGTAGGGAGTAGAAGTCAAAATTGGGTCAGAGAAAGGAAGAAGGAGTCAGGTAACAAGAGAGGTAGGGAGTAGAAGTCAAGATTGGGTCAGATAAAGAAAGAAGATGTCAGGATAACAAGAGAGGTAGGGAGTAGAAGTCAAGATTGGATCAGAGAAAGGGAGGAGGAGTCAGGATAACAAGAGAGGTAGGGAGTAGAAGTCAAGATAGGGTCAGAGAAAGGAAGAAAGAGCCAGGATTAGGGTAGAAAGACATAGCATAAAGGAGTCAGGATAACGATAGAGGAAGGGAGTTGGTACGAGTAAGGATTAGGAAAGAGGGAGGGAGTAGGTGTAAGGGTTAGGAGAGAGGTTGAAAGTATGGGTCAGGATTAGGACAGAGACATGAAGTGAGCAGTGATAAGGAGAGGGAGAGAGTTAGCTAGAAGGGGAGAAGATTGGGTCAGAGGTAGGATTTAGAGGTAAAGGTTTGGATTGAGATATCGAGTAGGAAATAGGGATAAGGATTGATACTGAGGTAAGGAAAAGGGATAGGGATATATATTGAGACTCAAGTAGGAAATAGGCATAATGATTAAGATTGAGGTAGAGAATATGGATAAGGTAAGAGACAGAGGTTGGAAACAGGTATAAGAATTGGGACATAGGATATTGAATCTGAAACAACAAAAAACGTGTAATTAAAAATATGAAACTTTAAAAAGATGAAATAATTGATACAATGATAAATGTGGGATTAATTTTTTCCAGTGATCTTGGAATATAACACATAAAAAACTAATCATTCGGAACAAAAAAAAGTTAATGGGCATAAAATGTGTCATTTTAATCTACGAAGATGCCAACCTCTGTAGGATTAGGGGCTGTCAACATTAATTGTGTTGTGTGTACATTAATTGTATTTTCCCCATTTGAAGAGTGTAAAGAAGCATTTAGCCTGTTCGACAAATGTGATGAAGGCACCATAGCAACCAAAGACATAGGGAGAGTGATGAGGGCACTGGGACAGAACCCGTCAGAAACACAACTACAGGACATAATTAACGAAGTGGACAAGGATGGTAAACAATGTCGTCAGAAAACACATCTAAGCTCTTTAAAGCTTAGCTTTAAAGAGCGAAAATCAAATAATATTCACGAGGGCATATGTATCTGCTTTGTTTTTGTTATGTTTTTTGTTATGGAAATAACTTTTTTTTTTTTAGGGAAATAACATGTTTTTTTGTTTGTGTTTTAGGGAAACAACATGTATCAGCTATATAATTAAGTGACCCTTTGTTCAGGAAATCTGAAATACGACAAGAAACAATTATTACTTTTATATGTTTGCCTTAAAATGGGTATTGTTGTCCTTGTGTGTATTGAACCTCTGCACACTCACATTGGCTGTTCTTTATAAAAAAGAGACAATATGAAACCTAAACTCTACCAAAATAGGCAGTAAAACACATATGGTGCTTCTATATAACTAATATCTATCATCACGCCAAGCCAGTACCATCTGTGTACATTTTTGTGGATGCAGTTATTTATTTATTTTTCTAGGAAAAGCTACAATTGACTTTCCCGACTTCTTTACAATTATGGCTCGTACGGTTAAGCACGCCAATAAAGAAGAAGAGTTGCAAGAGGCGTTTAAAGTATTGGATAAAGATGGGACTGGCTTGATCAGTGCAGCTGTATTACGACACGCAATGGGAAATTTAGGAGAAAAGCTAACAAATGAGGAAGTCGATGAGATGATCCAAGAGGCTAACATTGATAGTGAAGGCCAACTCAGCTATGAAGGTAAGACATACTTTACCGACGTATTAAGTAACGGCTGATGTGAATAGCTAGTTCACGATTCCTTTTCTCAGATAATAATAAGGCATCCTGCAGTCATATTGCTGATGATTCGATGAATCAAGAGGAACGAGTTATATAAATTGTATAAATTTATAGTTATTCATTCGAAATAAAAAACAAAATTGAAATGTTATGGTATAAAGTTAAAGGCGATTTCAAATGCATTCTGTGCATTAATTAAATTTACCATGTTGATATTCTGTAACGATATTGAATCATTATAAACTAGTATCTTAAACCTACAGACAATCATATCACATTGTTTTAATAATGCTAACTTTTCTTTTTTCAGAGTTTTCGGCAAAAATGCTGGCACTGTAGAACCAACAGTAATGCCGCCTTCCAAAATTCATCTTGTCACCAATCAGCTTCTGTTGTTAACGTCAAATCCTTCATTTGCACATAACTACTTAATCCGGCGTTGAAAAAAGTGAACAAAATACCACAGTCTGCACAAAGACGACTTTAATTGTATGAAACTCGCCTATAATCTTTATCAGCCTGTATCTCCTAAAACTTTGTGTTGAAAGTAGGCCCACATGTAGTCAACATTGAGTACGGAATCCTGATATCTGCAACAAATAGTTGAAGACCGAGGTAACTGCGTGATTAATCATCGTAGTTGGAAAGTAACGATATAACTGTCAAGAAAAGGGAAGTTCGCAATCGGAAAATCGAACTTGTCACGCTAATCGTACTTTGAAATAGTAATCTGTCCCTGTTGGTCTTGCGTCAGTAAGAATCGAGGAAAACTGTTATTACAGTCGACGTGGTCAATATATTCTATAATGTTTTAAAGTGAACTCATCGTTGATAAAAGCGGAACTGAAGGACTTTAAAATGTTTTGTTAGCAGTCAAACGGAGCAGTATACAGTTTGTTTTCATAAAAAAAATAACCGCCTGCCAAAAACTCTTGCCACCGAATTCAACAAAGATACTGTCAAGTACAGATAATTTTCCCAATTTAATCATCAACATGTTTAACACTGATTTGTTATGTTGTTTTCATAGCCTATGACCAAAATTATCTACAGCCGTTTATTGTAAACGTGGTACACTTTTCGTGGAAGGGATGTATGTATGAATTTTAATTGATATTTTGATGAAATGCAATTGTTTTCAATAACAAATTGTTCCTTTTTTTTAAGTAATTTGTATTCGGATTTTAACAATTGTTAAATCATATTTATTTTTAAGTAAATTTTTACTACTGAATGTATTTACTTAGTTTTTATATGAAACAAATGAAAACAGTTGTATGACAGATACCTTTTCCGGGTCAAGCCAACAAAAACTACACTCAACTCTGACCATGAAATCTACGCGGCTTCTCTAAAACCAAAGCTTGGATGTTACAACAACCAACAGTCCGATATATTCGACATGGCAGAACTGGCATATTGTTGTTTGATGAAATGACTTCCTGGACCATATTGTAAAGGTATAAACAAGGATAAGAATTATACAAGTATTTCGTTTAAGGCACAGTTCAAATACTAAGTAAACTAGTGTACATGATAAATTATGTCGAAGAGGTCTTACGCAACAATGAAACCCAACTAACAAAGAAATACAAGTTGGTTAAGTATTCCATTTCAGACATAACTAATGGATTAAAAAATCAATTCGAGTAGACAAAAGCATAGCTTATATAACCCATCTCAGTTTATTGATCTGTACGGGTATTCACAGTCGGTGAGGCATCCTCGATATCCTGGGGTTACACTCACTTTCGCTCTCTGCACCCCTGGAATATGTGACATTGTCATAGCAAAAATTGAAGGCACGAAGGTAGCTGTTTGATTGCATGGTCTCAGGTCACAAAAACCGACCAATCGCAACGCTGATACAGGTCCTTTGAAGATTACAAAGGAGCGACACTCGACTTCAAAGCCTGTCATGTTTTACCGTTACGCGACTGTGAGATTCTTTTGATGTACATCAAAGGATCGAACTAGTCTTCTTGTCTCATCAACAAGGTGGTACACACTGAGCCTTCAATTTTGCTAGGACATATTCCAGGGGTGTAGAGAGCAAAAGTGAGCACAGACTGCACACCACCTTATTTTTAGTTTAGTTCAAAAAAGATTAATTTTGGCAAAATATGACACATGACGCACTATAATCTTCATCAATCTGCATTTCTCATAACTTTGTTAGAAAAAACAGCCCACAAGTGGTCGACATATGAATTACGGTAATCTTGGTATTTGGAGAAAACCCTGGAATACCGAGTCAACAGCGGCATGGAAACAAAAACGTATCTGTCAGGAAAGGGAGTGTCGAAATTGTAAGTCGTCCCTGTTGGTCATGTCGTTAGTAAAGGAGTATAGTGACGCAGAAGAAACCGCCGTGTCTTTGATTTCAATTTACAGAAGGTACAGCTGTATCAACATTCGATTCCGTCAATATATCCCGTTTTGTAAAGACAACACATTGTCGATTGATGTGGAATTAAAGAATTTCAAAAGTTTTGTAACAGTCGACAATTCAGGGGCACAGTTCGTTCCAATAAGAATGCCAACTCTCTACCGGAGAGATATTGTCAATCACTAATTGGTCATTCACATTATTTCATCATCAATGTTTTTCATCTTAGCCGTTGTTTAGGTTTTTATAAAATATGACCAAAATGGATTTTAGTCATATGTTTTTATTGACGTGCGCCTCTCTGGAAAAAAATGGATGGGTGTATTGTATTAAGCATTTGGAAGAACAGCAGTTGTTTTTATAATAAGTATTTCTTTTATTCAAATGTTACTGTGTATCTATTTAGACTTTTATTAAACGCGTCTTTCTATGACGAATTTTTCTTATTTATTTTCTTCATAAATTAGGACTGATGACAAATACAAGACTGATTACTTTTTCTTCGCCTCGGATGACAGTGATACCCTCGGGTTGACCCTAGGCACTGTCACACTGTAATGAGTGTAGTATTTATTTACTACTTTATACAAGTATACATGGCAATGGAAATACCATTACATTCCGAACAGACCTTGATCCAAGATGATATTTAGTCTGGTCAAAGGCTGATAGAAAATGACAACAAGGAATCAAGAAGACAACCTAAACAACCGAAAGACACTTTCAACTACTGACACACTAAGATACATATATCAGCAAAGCCATAATAATGAAAAATAATCCAAATCTTGAATAAAGAGACTGACACATTTTATACGCTCCCCAAAGGTGTATAGCCATTCATCATGTGTGATCCCATTTTTGTAGACGGTCCATTTGTTGTTAAAAACTAAAATATCTGTGTGGCTAAATCTTTCTTGAAAATCTAAGTTGTGTTGCTGAATCGCTGGATAGTCCCACTTTTAGATATATTTTTTCCTGTACCCATTAATTTTATTTATTTGATGTCAATGTGCAGAAAATACGGAGTGACCACTGACATGTCTTTATTAAAAGGTTCTTGATCGATGGTAAACACTCCAGTTTTGATTATAATTCAATACGAGTTATTGAATCAGCTTTCGTATGAATTACTCCTGGGACCTGAGTGAGAATGCAACAGTAGGACTGAGGAAGGGTTGTAAAAATGTCAAGGATAACAGGCGAAGCTGGTTCAACTTCACTAAGACAAGTTATCATATTTTCATGAACGGAGGTTATGTGTCCAGAGGTAGATAGGCAAGGCTCAAAATGCGCAGTTTGGATTTATAATAAATAAATAAGGTGTTTCTTTTTAACAACCTTTCAGATTTTAACTAATATGGGTATTAAAACAGCTTCACGTACCGATGTATATTAAGACGGTAGAAACAAAACTGGTAATAGGAAACTTTCCTGTCCAACAGTAGAGTCTAAGTGACTTCAGATAATAACCTGAGAAAAAACAACCATTTGAATAAACAAATAGCAAATCAATACACACAACAGTGGTAGTTTTACCTCATTGTCAAGCAGTTGAATTCTGCACTATGTATTGGCTCTGATTATAGCTTATTTGATTATCAGTACGAATGACTATTTAGCTTTATTTAACAAAATAGCAAAACATAAGGAGACAGTTATCGTTGACAAAGGTTTTATAATTATTACGGGGTCTTTGTTCATGTCTATCCAACTAACATAGCACCTGTGAGACAGGGTTATACCTGACTTACGTCTGATTATTGGGTATATCTATATATAGACTCCCATATGTATCGCCAATTAAGTCCTGTCCTTTATTATATTGATATGGAGCGATGCGACAATCCGATACACACATACACATATGTATACATGTATAATATTCCGTTTGAAAATGAATAATACGTATTGAAAACAACGGGTATGTAAACGTCCTCTGGAGCTCAACCGATATTGGTTCAACCACTTCCGGTATTTGTACAATTATCAAACGTATAGTAAGTGGATCCCATCTGGTAGCTACACCAGCCATTTCTTTCTTCACGACACCATATGGTAGGTACCTTAATGTAAATACATAGGTGTATACGTTCTAATTACTTCGTTGTTATACGTTCAACGCTAAGAGTAAGATATACTTGGTGTAAAGCAATAGACATAACTGGCCATATTGATTAACTCACTATAAGGAATTAATCTAAAAGTAGTATATACGACACAACATATCTTGCTATACCATCGCTTAGCGTTCAAGAGGAAAAAAGAACTTGGTATATATCCGTGTATAGTATTTCATTCAACATCCTTGTTCATGTGATTGAGCTATTGATCGAATAATAGCGTTTGCCTTGGCATACATTTGTGGAATTTATTTGGGTTAATTATAAAACATTTGCATTTACCTATATTTATTGAAGATTTATTTTGACATTGGTCATACAACATTTTGACCTTTAGATACACATTGTTTTTGTAATTTTCTTTTTATTCAAGATTTTTTGAAATATATTGTATAATTACAATCAAACATTTCATATATATTCATACCTCACACGACTCATATATACTCAAGAAAAGAAGAAAAAAAATATATAATTAAATAGCAAAGAAAAAGGAGAAAGTCAACAGAATAATGAAAGAAAAGGAGAATCTGGTTTTTGCACTGCAACTGCAGAAAATGGGATAATCAAAGCTTCTAGTAGTGTTTCAAAACTGTGTAGGAAATTTTGTACAATGGCACACTCCCATAATGTATGAATTATTGTTTCCTTTTCTAGATTGAAAAAACACATAAAGGATTATTAGAGAGGCCGGCTTTGCATAGATATATATTTGTTGTCAGTATATGATGGAGAATTCTTACTTGGAGCCATTGAAGTTTTGTATAAGTATTTGTGCAAAAGGGAATTTGATATATTTTTTTCCCATTTGTTGTCCCTAATGTCAAATATTTCGCCCAATTTCTTCCTACCAGTTGGAATAACCCTATTTTCAGAAAGTATTACATAAAAGTCCTTAGCTCCTTTAGAGTTTTTGTTAAAAAAAAAAACAAACTAAAATGTATGTGTGGGGAAATCTTTTATCAAATCATTAAAAATAGTAATTCCACATCTATACCATTCAGGATAAAATACACACTTCTGACTTAAAGTTAAATTTTTAGTATACCATAAAGGCAATTTTAAAATCGATTGTCCCTTTTCCCTTACAAGATCTTCTTTAAAAGAAAGTCTACTCCATGCTTTAAATACATCTTTCCAGAACAAATTTGTACTTGTATTTTGGCATATTGATATATATATTTATTACCACAGTTAAAGAGAAGATCAATATTGATATATGTTTTTAATATCTGCTGCCATTTGCCTTGTTTTTGGCGAAGCCTCCTTATCCAACTTAATTTTAAAGATTCCATAAATGACAATAAGTGTACCATCTTAAGACCTCCATCTCTATAATGTTTAACAACAACATCTCTCTTTATTTTATCAACCTTACCATTCCAAAGAAATTCATAAAGGATACAATTGAGTTTACGAAGATTTTTTCACTGGGATTTGGTAAAGAAATAAACAAATGATTAAATTGGGATACCATTAATGACTTTATGACATGTATTTTACCAATATGTGTAATAGATCTTCTTTTCCATGAATTGATAATAGATTTAAGCTTAACAAGGTTTTTTTTTATCAAAGTTTAGTTTGGGTATCCTATGTAGGTCTACATGAAATTCTACTCCTAGAAG